GTTGAAGTTTCCACATCTTCCAAAGCTTCAAGTATGTTAAGTGTGATTTGTTTGGTGCATGTTATGTTGTATCGTAGAATCTTAATTTACTGTGTGTATGTTGAGACCTACTGCTGCAGAGGCTGCTGATACACTGGTCGTCTTCGCTTGCATGTGTTGTTGTGTGTGAGATAGAAGAGTCAGATCATCTGCGAAGTCCAGGTCGTCCAGCTACATCCTGGCTGTCCATTTTATACCGTGATTCCCTCCAGATGTCAACGTCTTCATAATCCAGTCGATCAACAGGAGAAAGAGAAAGGGTGAGAGTAAGCAACCTTGTCTGACACTGGTCTTCACCTCGGAGGAGTCTGTTAGCTGTCATTCCTGTACGATTTTTCAGTTTAATTCATCATAAGAGTTCCGTATGATGTTGACTATTTTCTCAGGCATGCCGTAGTATCGAAGAATCCTCCATAGTGTCTTCCTATCGAATACTTTTCCGTAGTCGATGAAGTTGATGTAGAGTGGTGAGTTCCATTCAATTTGTTGTTCCATAATGATCCGTTATGTTGCAATTTGGTCTGTACACGATGGATCCTTACGAAATTCAGCCTGTTGATCATGAAGTTGGGCGTCTACGAAGTCCTTCATTCTGTTTAACAACAATCTGTTGAAGACTTTTCTTGATACTGATACTACGAAATTACAGTACATGGAAGATTGTTCAAATTACTTCTAATCACTAAATGATTTTGTCGATTTTGAAGTACCTGGTAGCACTGGACGGTTGTTTCGTTCCAATATTGGACTTCCATGGAAACGGCTTTCCGGAAGTTCCAGGTTTTTATTAGTCAGCTAAAATCAGTTCGTTGTTCTAGGAAATAGTATAACCATTTCAAACATTTAACAGTTATTCGTAGAAACAATGTTTAAATAGTGGACAATTTATCATGAAAACTTTACTACTTACAATAAAACGCTATGCCATTACAGTAATTTATGATCAGATTAATGTGAATAAAAAGTAGTCAAATATTTTAATGTTAAGTATGTCAGTATTTTTAAAATGTCATTATCTAAACAAAACTAGTGGATACAATGCATAATGGTGTCAGTCTAACTTGAATTTATTATACAATAACATTAGTAATCATGAAAACGCAAAATTTGATTTTATGTAGTGAATCCATGTGTTCAAACAAAACATTGTGGTCATATTTTATTGTTACTCTAAAATCATTCATAGTCTATGAAAAAAAGGTATTTAAAGTAATGTATTTTGAACAAATTTCAAATGCAAATAATTTGTATATGAATTTCATAATTATGATTTATAGTTTTTAGTGGCTACCAGTATTCGAATCTATTTGTAGAAATATTTCGTACATCTCATATGAATCCATTTTCATTAGTGTTTTTCAATGAAGAATGAACTAATCAGTTAAATGTTATGGCTACAACAGCTAAGTTATTATATTATTATATTATTACTGAACTGAAATGGTTCTGAACTTGTACTACAGTCTTTCATTCAACTGAATCCCAATAAGGAATTCAATATTTATGAAGATGAAATTATGGCTCACAATGATTTTAAAGAATGATTCTTCAACAATTAGCTAAGTGCTTTTTAAACTTGTGTTAATTTTATTCACTTAGAAAAAGTTCTATATTCCAGATGTGCTCAAAATTGAGATTTATTGCATTTTACTCATTACTTACAAATACCTAAAGTAGTTAGAAGGATATAGTAATGATAGAACTAACATGACCCCAAAATGAAAAAAGGGGGAACTAGGGGGCTTATTGGTTGGATCAAACTTGTATTGGTCAACCATATATATATATATATATATATATATATATATATATATATATATATATATATATTGCCCTAAACATTCCTAGTTAAATTGTAGGACTGACGTATTATGTAGAAGATAAAATAAGGAAATGTTTTTTACCATCTATGTCTGTGTGAATCGGTTTAATTGGGTCAAATAAACTAAGTTGTTTGTCACGTTTTCCCTACTCTAACTCCTCCAAATCCTAGTTATTTTATCGTAACGCAGAATTCGTGTTATTTCACAAACCATTCAGGCTTCGCATATTTATGAATCCACTTCTGCCCTTCTGTACAATACTTCACAGCACAAGCTGCATACACAGAAGCAAACAGGAAAGTGAAGAAGAGCATCAGATCTGACAAACGAAAATATGTGGAAGATATAGCAATGACGACGGAAAAGGCTGCAAGAGAAGGAAACTTGAGACAATTGTACGAAACAACAAAGAAGCTCGCCGGAAACTATCGTAAACCAGAACGACCAGTGAAAATCAAGGAAGACAAAGTAATCAGCAACACTGAACAACAGCGAAATAGGTGGGTAGAGCACTTTCAGGAACTCTTAAATCGACCAGCTCCACTCAACACACCCAACATCGAGGCAGCATCCACGGACTCCCAATCGATGTTGGCGCACTTACAATTGAGGAGATCAGTATGGCCATCAGACAAATCAAGAGCGGCAAATCAGCAGGACCAGACAACATTCCAACAGAGGCAATGAAAGCAGACGTGGAAGCAACTGCGAAAATATTTCACAACCTCTTCAAGAAGATTTGGGATGAGGAACAAGTACCATCAGATTGGAAAGAAGGATACCTCATCAAAATACCAAAGAAAGGCGACCTGAGCAAGTGTGAGAACTACAGAGGCATCACTCTTCTTTCATTACCAGAAGGTCTTCAACAGGGTATTGTTAAAAAGAATGAAGGACTTCGTAGACGTCCAACTTCGAGATCAAGAGGCCGGATCTCGTAAGGATCGATCGTATACTGACCGAATTGCTACATTACGGATCATCGTGGAACAATCAATTGAATGGAACTCACCACTCTACATCAACTTCATCGACTACGAGAAAGCATTCGATAGCGTGGATAGGAAAACACTGTGATGGCTTATTCGACACTACGCATTGCCTGATAAAATAGTCAACATCATACGGAACTCTTATGATGGATTCAACTGCAAAATCGTACAGGAATGACAGCTAACAGACTCGTTTGATGTGAAGACCGGTGTCAGGCAGGGTTGCTTACTCTCACTCTTTCTCTTTCTCCTGGTCATAGACGTCGACATCTGGAGGGAATCACGGTATCCAATGGACAGCTAGAATGCAGTTGGACGAAATGGACTTGCAGATGACCTGGCTCTTCTATCTCACACACAACAACAAATGCAAGAGAAGACGACTAGTGTATCAGCAGCCTCAGCAGCAGTAGGTCTCAACATACATAAAGGAAAAAGCGAAATTCTCCGATGCAACACAACAGGCAACAACCAAATCACTCTTGGTGGAGATGCCTTGAAGGACGTTAACACCTTTACATATCTGGGCAGCATCATCGACGAGAAAGGTGGATCCGATGCAGATATGAGGGCGCGGATCGGAAAGCAAGGGCTGCATTTCTAAAATTGATATATCTCTGGAACTCCAAACAACCTTCGACCAAAACCAAAATCAGGATTTTCAATACAAATGTGAAGACAGTTATACTGTATGGGGCGGAAACTTGGAGAACTACGAAAGCCATCATTCAGAAGATACAAGTGTTTACTAACAGTTTTCTACGCAAAATACTTCGGATTCGTTGGCCAGACACGATCAGCAACAACGTACTGTGGGAGGGAACAAACCAGATTCCAATGGAGGAGGAAATCAGGAAGATGCGGTGGAAGTGGATAGGACACACTGCAAAAAGTACCCAACTGCGTGACAAGACAAGCCCTCACTTGGAACCCTCAAGGCAAAAGGAAATGAGAAAGGCCAAGGTACACATTACGCCGAGAAATAGAGAAAGATATGAGAATGATGAAAAAAATTGGACAGAACTGTAAAGGCAAGCTCAGAACAGAGTTGGTTGGATAAAACTGGTTGGTGGCCTTTGCTCCATCGGGGTTAACAGGCGTAAATAAGTAAGTAATATGTACAGTCAAATATAGGTTTTCATTCGCGTTCGGTATGATTTGTCAGTCTAGATACTCATTTATGATTTGACTGTTTCAAAAGAGGAAGCTGTTTACATTTGATTGGAAATGAATAGCTCGATAATCCAAGCTGAATAGTCAAAGGAAGTGATACCTGAGGTTTTCGTAAAGGTCCCGTAAAGACATGTAACAACAATGAACAGTCTAAAAAACGGAAATATTTTATTTTCTCTAAATTCCCAGTTTAGTAAAGTTAATTGACTTGATATTCCATTAAAATTATGAGACGGATATAAGAGGATTATCATGTTACATCGTATCAGTATCCTATTCTAAGTGCATAAAGTGATAATTAAGCAAAAGATTCGGAGAATTTGATCAGATCAGTTTGCTTGAACAAATCCTAAGTGAACTTGAGGAAATTCACCTACTTACTAGGATCAAAAGAGTTTTAAATTAGTGTAAGGAATTAGAGCCTATAAGTTGAAGTTATCATCATAAACTGATATCAGCTATCATGCCGTGAATGAAATTCGCTCCATAATGTGACTTCCTATCCTTAATTCCACGGTTTGGTCCATAAACTATCTCGCTGAAGGCACAATGAGAACAGCTCAAGCCAAAGCCTATGTCAATAGAATACTTTCTCGATCATGCACTCAGTAATTATGAGTATAGAGCAAAGCCTATTTCTAGTGGTTGTTATATTATTGACATGAAGCTCTAGGCCATTAGTCTCGTATGTTAACGGGATCCAAAACGAAGACAAAAAATCCTAATTTTCATTGGCTCTGCAGTTGATGCCATTTCATGGTGAAAACGTACATATTCTAGCGTAACATGGATGTTTTAATGTGAGGTTGTTGATTTCATAAACAATAACCAATAATCTAAAATACTATTGGATGTGAGGACGTGTCTGTACATCAAAATGTGATCGTTATGTCAGTTTAATTTCATTGGTTTAAATCCTTTCCTTCATTTCTCTATTCATAAAACGCTTGTCTTCATCATAAACAGTAGAATCATGGCTACTGAAAGTGGTTCCTCTCGTGTGATATTGATCCCAATCGATGGAAGTGATCACTGTGATCGAGCATTTCGTTGGTACCTGGAGAATATGAAGCGAGACAACGATTGCGTAAAATTTGTACACGTAATCGAGCCAGTTTATAATACCCCAGCCATTGGAATGACAATGGAATCTCCTCCAATACCTGATATGACACGGGTTATGGAAGAAAGCATTGAACAAGGTAAAAAGCTTGGCCAGAAGTATATGCACGAAGCTAAAAGTTACAAACTCAGTGCTCAAGCGTTTTTACATGTTGATACGAAACCTGGTAGCTCTCTAGTAAAAGCAATTTCAGACCACAAAGCAAATGTTATTCTCATGGGCAATCGTGGTCTTGGAGCTATTCGTCGTACATTCTTGGGGAGTGTTAGCGATTATGTCCTTCATCATGCTCATATTCCTGTGGTTATCGTCCCTCCTCAAGAAAAGCAGTAACTTTTTCTTCTGTTTTAACATCCACTTGATGTTTGAGAATTAGAAATTTTGTGTAAGTTACTGTTAAATCATTTTGATACAAAATCTATCCTGTTTAATTATTTAATATTTGTTGTCTTATTTTCAGAATATAATCATACTTACCTATTCCTATTTTCTTGATATTTAAAGAATATTAATTAGTACAGTTGCTTTCTATTGTACTCGGTTTAGTAGGTAAGATGGCTTGACCTGCTTATGACTTTTTGTTAGGGACCGATAAATGGTGTGATGTTCTTACAATTCTAGGTATAGTCTCTCGAGCTTCTTTATATTCTAGCGAAATTCTATACAAAACTAGTTACTTGGCTGACTTTTGTAGCTTAAAAGTATTGTTCAACTGAGGATTTCTGCTAGCAGAAATTGTACACGAAAAACCTTAAAATAGTTGTAATAAGGATCATACCAACTTTTTCTGATCATTGATACTGGTGCTGTTGTTTCACGACAACAACAGTGATATTTATGCATTGTAATACTAATAGGTTGACATATACATATTAGCTTAATTTCAATTTCCTACTACCAAGCTTCTATGAGACAACTTATTGTACATGACAGGTTTTTGTATGTTAGTGATCCTCATTACTATGTTGTGATCTGTAACTATAAACGTGTCTGCCACTCAGTTACGAGTTCACTGGGCTGTTTTTATCTTAGTTACTACGTCAAGACACGTTTATCTAATGGCAGATCTCTGGAACTATGGACAGTTGAAACAATGCTAAGTCGTTGATATTACGAATCATTCATCATGTCAGTGTAGTGTTGTGGTCTTGGTGAGTACGACTGTTTACTAAATCCTAATAAATTGCAAGTATTCAATTTGTACACCGACAGCTAGGTTGAAAAACGTCGATCCTTAGTATTTTCTTTCCAGAACTTCCAGTTAGGTACTGGGATACAAAATTACCTTGGATACTATATTAGTCAAACTAATCGTTAGATGAGTATAACAATAGGACTGTTTTCGTTTCTTTTTCTTTGAGTACTATCAGCGATGGCCAACTAAGTAAATTTACATGCGCCCGTAAACCTCATTGTCGTAGACACTCTAAGTGGTAGCCTGAGCTACCATTTTGGGGATTTAGTTTTGTCTTCTTATAGGTCAGTGTCCTTATTTCACTACAAGTTAAAGGGAGGGTGAATTTCGGTCACTAGCTCAATATGTTGATGAGCATTGAATAAATAAAATGTCGAAATCTTAATTACACCGAATGCTTGGTCTGAGAAAAGGTTATGTACGTAAGTTTCTTCACAATGATCTCACCAACTGCTAAATATTAGTGCTCAGTGTTTATTTACTTATCTGAGCACACGATTATCACAGGTCGAGTGAGGGCTTATAGCGAACTGTCATCAGAATTCATTACTTCAAGTGATGTCCGTCAGGGATGTCCACTTTCTCCGTTCTTGTTTAACTTTGTCATGGACATGATTCTAGGAATAACATCTTCGTCTGACTTTTCAGGGATGGACCTCCTACCACGTGACACGCTTGCTGACTTAGAATATGCTGATGGCATAGTTCTATTTGGTGAGGACGCTGACTAAATGCAGTCTTCTGACTACCATAAGCAACAATGTAAGCGTGTTCGAAGTGCGGCTTTCCCCCTCGAAATTCAAAATGTTGCTTCAGGATCGGTTTGTATCGGCACCTGAACTAGTGATGGGGAGTGAATTAGTTGAGCATGTTCACCTCTTCACTTGTCTCTGGAGTCTTGTCAGTTCTGATTTCCCGGTGAGTAACAAAATCTCAGCACGGATACGGAAGGCTCGATAGGCTTTTGACTACTTGCGTCATTTATGGAGTTGGCAAGTCTAATGCACATCATTCTGCTCCGTCCTACTTTATAGGTGTGAAACATGGTCACTAAGAGTAAAAGATATTCTCAGTTTACTGGTTTTCGATCATAGGTATCTCCCAAGCATCGCTCGTGGACCTTGGGATTGTTGAGTAGGTAATGCAATTGTTAGGAAACGAGTATTAGGTAAGGAAAGCTGGTTAATAGACGAAGTAGTGAAACTTCATCAGTTGAAGTGGTTAGGACATGTGTTGTATATGCCTAATCACCGACTACCTCGTCCAGCTACGTTTTGTTGATTAGGAGTAGGTTGGAAGAAATTTAGGGGCGGCCAAACCAAAACATGAGACAAATCCATGAAGTTAGTGACAAGTGGACTGAGTCATGTTGGTAAGTGTAAGCTACCTGGTTAAGGTCCGCGAGGTGATAGTAATAGATGGTTAAAGACCTTGAATGACATGGCTCAAAAGCGTTTTGAAGGGCACAGGTTCATTCATACTTTGTGTTCTCTCAAATCCTAATTTTCTGAATTCCTCATAACCGTATTTCCTCTTTTTTTAACTGATTCGTCTGGGGTATACATCTCGAATGATATATATTCGATCATTAATCATTTTGATTACTGCTAATACTTCTACTACCTTTACCGCTTCGGGATTTAAATTGAAAATCATATGTCTGTTCTAATGTTGTCTGGCAACTTGAACTGATGTACGTACGTACGAAGTTCTACGTTGTAACACATGATAAAAGGAGGTTTTTTAAGGGAGCCATTCCCTAAGTTTTTGACCTACAGGTATAATTGACAAAGCGGTGGAGCAACATTGAGAGATGCAGTTCCATTTTATCTGATTACCAAAAATGAATTCATACGCCATTTAGTCCCTCAGTATGCACCGTTGGCCCGGAAACTGAGTTATTTTAGTCCATTTGTTTGATCCTTGTACCCACCAACCCGGTTCAAGCTCCGGACATCCTCTTTCCCTCCTTACTTTCGTAAGCAACACCCCTGCCACAAGAAGGTAATCAGTAGGACTCTCCTTACAGAAGCTATACACGCACGACCATACGAGGGCATTTCGAGATAGAGTGAACTTTCTCCACTCTTCGCCGTACTAGGCATTCGAGGACCGATCCGCCTGTTAAATAAGAGCAGCTCAGATGTATCACATTACTGTCAAAAGCGATTGTGTAACGAGTCCGTCAGTTCTTATTCAAGTTGCTGTCATTTTTTAATCTGAAGTGTATTGAATTGGTTATTGGGTATTCCCCTATTTTACAGCATCATTTCCTAAATCCCTGCTAAAGACTGACAACAGTAAACTGGTAGTCATTTGCTAACTTTGAGATGAAAATTCACCACATTATGCACTAAGTGCCTAGTTTGACCTATGAGAGTGGTGTTCAATCTCCTCACATCTTAAAAGCCCCCCCAATGACCTCTGGCTGACGACTTTATATTAGACTCACCGGACTCTCTTCAACTTACTTTACATGTAGTGTAGGGTGGGGTGCTGGTTCACAGAAAAGGGAGTGTACAATGCAGCCGTTTGGTTAGTATTGGCACCCAATTATATATTAGTGACGCCTGATCGGAATACTCTGAATAAAGCAAAGGTCCCACACAGAATGCTGCTCATAAATAATTTGTTGAGCATATAAAATTCCAGTCGTAGTGGTTAAGGAATCTGTTGGTTATGCTCAGCTCTCCCTAGTCGTATGCTATTGACTATAGGATTATTTTGAAATAACTTCGGGCAACTAGACCAAAAAGTGATGTCAGTTTAAGGAATTATCAACAGTTGAACTGTGTGAAGAGGCAGAGATTTCCTAGTTGGATCTATGGGAATTCGTAATCTGTGGTTGAAAACGTTAGGTGATATCGCTGAAGGTTGTTTGTAGTATAATGAGTTTATTTACTGCTAACCTTCCCAAAAATCTTGAGTTTCGATAGCTCAGTCTTACTCATACATGCCTCTGTTTAAGCAGTACCAAAATTTTATGGACGGTAGTTCTGTATGAAATCCTTGACTGCAGTTGAGGATTGGCCCGTGTACCTACTGCTTAGTTTAGGTCGGATGTTACCAGGTTTAGTTGCATGTTTCTAAGGTTAGGATTTTGGAAGCAAATGATTTTCAAATTTTATGTGGACTTAAAATTTATCAGTTTGCCAGAATGCAATCATAAGTCACACCGAAGTTTCTTTCTGGTTGGTTTGAATTATCGATTTCGGCATGTAAGTTATTCGTTTCACCCTATCCTGTCTTCAATATCATCGGAAAAGTCTAGATGTTGGTATTTGAAGTTTACTGAATAAATACGTATTTTTCAACTCAATAGTAGGCAGCTGAATCCAAATAATTTCTAGTTCAGTGATATTTCATGGTCGAATTTCTCAAGCTACTTATTTGTCAACTATTTCGGACATGACACCCAACAAATTAAAGTCCAAAGGAAACAATACGTATAAGCTGATTCCGTTAGAAAGGACTTTTAGATCTTAACTAGGATATTATCATTCAAAAACTATTTGATGTTCGTAATGATCAATATTTGGTCGTACAAATAATAAACTTTAACAATGCTTATCATGGAAACAGAAAAGGTGAAAATAAGATGAATGCTGACATGTGATATGAATTACCCAGGTTCATAATTCACTTGATTACAAAAGGGATGCTACGAACTGCAGAATACTGTTATGAAAGAGCCTCAGTGCTTAACGTTATTTCAGTCTTTTGATTGACTTGAAGGTCTATGAGTTAATAAGAGACTATTATCACCTTGCTTTTTAAGCCATGATTACCTTCAACCCTCTAGACTAACAAACACAGTGGTCATACGGACAACTACAGCTCAATGGACAAAGATAATCAGCAAAGAATTTGAATAATTGTTATGCGAAAGTTTTGATTATACCTTGATCCAATAAAACGAAAGTGATTTATGCCGGTTAGGAATATTAATTACATAAAATATCAACAGAATGGTTTGTAGTATGATCTAACAATGATAAGGACTAATTATCCTAGTATTATAACATAATTATATGGATTGTTCCTATAATTTTCTATTGTCTCAATGTCAGTGCTGTTGAACCCTAATAAAGTTCATCATTTTTTACTGTCTTTTGATGTTTAAACATGATTTTTTCAT